TTGATAGCTAATATACCTATATGATATAAACATAGTACTCTTTAAGATATGAATAAGCTTAAGTTACATATATAATAGCAAAACTCCGTGAGAGTTTGTTAGCTAATACATGTTATAATGTAACCATAATGCTTAAGATATGATGAAACTTAAGCCAATTAGCAAAAAACTCTTTAGAGTTTGTTAGCTAATATACTTATATGATATAAACATAGTACTGAGCTTAAGATATGAATAAGCTTAAGCTACCTATATAATAGCAAAACCTCGTGAGAGTTTGTAAGCTAATATATTTTTACAATATGTGTATAGTACTATGCTTAAGATATAATTAACTTAAGCTACGTATATAATAGCCAAAAACTCTGTAGAGTTTATTAGCTAATGCATTTATAATGCAACCATAGTACTACGCTTAAGATATGATTAACTTAAGGTAAATATATAATAACAAACTCTGTAGAGTTGTTAACTTATATATTGTATGATGTAATAATCATAGTACTGTGATGATAAAAAAGAACTTAAGCAAATTATATATAGCATGTAGCTATTTAGTACTGTTATAAGATAAGTAGAAATCTGTAAGATTGACTTATCTTCTCCGAGGAACTGTCAACTGTTGTGCGAGGACCCTGGAACCGAATTGGTGGATACCTGAGACGTCCTTGACGGTGATATCTCTCAGATAATGGTTGGCAACCACCATATCGGATCTCCAGAAATAACCCCTCCATAATTTCAAATAACATTTGTGTAAATCAATTGTAGCAGTTAGCGCTCTAATATCATGAGTATTAGAAGCTCATGGAGGGTCGGATCGGGTCCATCAGTCTTGTAGGCACATAGTATGACAGTTCTGATCCAAGGAGATGGTAGTACATGAGACTTCCGTCTGCGTAACTTGAATATAGAGGAAATAATCTGATGCATTTTTCCCTCCTGTTTGGTTCGGTGGAGATAAATTTACAGTGCTCTTGCTGGCCATCGTGATAGAATCATCGTATCATGAAGTCCAAGTATGTCATCCAGGCGTGTTCATAAACCTCACTTGTGAGGTGTTGGAGCACTATATACAGATCCCGAAGTTGGAGCGTGAAACTTCCGTTTTAATCCTCCAATCAGAAAGCTTAAGTAGGTTTACTCACCATCTAGTTGTGTTAGTAGTTTGATGATGAAATTCAGTTGTAGACTGAGACGCTGTGGATTTAGATCCACTTGTATTCCGTCGTCTAGGTAAATTCGCTGCGAAGTCCTTGACGATGTAGGTGCACAACCAGGTGTGTCTGTCCTCGTTGAACTTTATGTAAAATCGCCTGACTGCCGTGCCCTCGTCCTAACTTGACAGGGGAGGTCTCTAACCTGAAGAAAGCAGCCCAATCATGAAGGTTCAGATTAACTGGACTGTAAGGAGGCTTGCTCGTTCACTGATATATAGTTGTCACTTGTAACGTGAGTCTTGAACTGTGAACTAAGACCGACCTCTGCGTAGGTCGTTGTCCATCGCGGTCCAATCAGAACAAGGCATTTTGATTCTGTAGAATACCCGCGCTGTGATGTCACCGGTGTAGCAGGAAAAAACCTTGTATAAAATCTTGCCGTCGTTTATATTAGCATAATCGTCGGTCTTCACCGTAGCTTTCCGAAGTTACCCGAGTGACCACGTGTTTCGAGGGTTAATGGTAAACGCGCGAAACCTCCGGCGCGAAATACCTCGCTCTGTAATATTAATGCTGGGTAGGTTATTTTCCTGCCTGTCGTGAAAGTAACTTCAGTTTTGGATATAATTCCGACTTCCTTATATAAAGGTACAATAAACTTGCAAGTTGTCAGCTTGTAGACTGTATACATGAATGTATCGTCATAATTGTAGAATTAAAGCTGAACTTGTTGTACATATTACTTCTCAGAAACGTTGACGATTATGAGTTATACTCGCTGTAACAGGTTGCTGTTCAATTTCGATATTGAATTGTCTGCAGATCTGCGTAATGGTCACGCATGTAGATAATCGTATCGTAGTGTGGGATAGCATATTCTAGCAATCTATACGGAAAGTTGATTTCTGTGAATATCTATGAAACGTCGTTGACTAATTTATATAGCGACGTTCTGTGTTGTAAATAGCCTGTGCAATTGTCTTCGCGTAGGCTTATAGACGGCATATGGCATACAGTTGATAGACACTTTATGCGATGTCTTGAACGGACTGACGAGTAGCTATATATGACGAGTGGCTAGTATATGGAGACCTTGGAGGATACTTCCTCGGTGAACGCCGGAGACTTCACGAAGCTCTCGAAGTATCCCTTCTAGATCTTCTGGGTGAAGCAGACTTGGAGCCACTTAGCCTTCGCGACCTTCGCGAAGGTATCGAGTCAGAGCCCGATCAGTATATATATATGTAATTTTTAGAGTAAAAATTGATATTTTATACTTATCCTGACTCATGCTTGCTTCGTGAACGACCTCTGTGTTCAACAGGATGTGGGGTCGGCGAAGCGCTACTCCTCCGTGACGTCCCTTGTAACTGGTGAGGCTCTAGTTCCTTCGCGGAGGCGGCCTGGGACTTCCTTATCGAAGTGTCTAGAGTCCGATCAATATATGAGCGTTAGCTTCATACAGGGTGTGGTTCTTGCTGGTTCTGCATAAGTAGAGCCGAGTAGATCATCCTATCATCTTCAGAAGTCGTGTCACGAAATCTGGTGATAAGAATCTCATTGATCGTTCTAGATCTATTAAGGCCAAAGAACATACGCCTCTGGCGTTTGAACTTACATGCCTTTATGGTAGGCTGTGTCCACATTCTGTGGCACCGCAGCAATCGGGTCGATCGGAGGTAGGGTGACGACGTCTACATCGTCTTCCTTCATCAGGTATGTCTGCGCTGAGTTGCCACTCTTGGACGGTGAAGATAAATCTAGGTTGTTTACCATCCAATATCTTATCTCAGCGTCTGAGAAGATGATGTTCCATCATCTTCTGTACCAGCATCGGTGATGAGAGGTTGATGCTCTTCTGATGGTGACCTGTGTGCTGCTATCTCTATGTCGGGTGACGCTGCCGACTTGTGTGGTGACCTGCGAGGTGATCGACGTGGTGATGTACGTGGAGATCGTCGTGGTGAACGGCGTGGAGATCGTCTAGGTGATCTGCGTCTATGGGATGACCTTGAGTCCGCATCTGAGGATGAGGCCGAGGACGGTGACGATCTCTCCCGCCTTCGCTGAAAAGCCTTCGCGAAGACTGTACATCTGGGTCCTTCGTCGAGGTGGTCTGTGACTTCCTTCTCGAAGGCTGCTTCGTCGTGGCTGCTACGCTGACTGGGGGTGCCTCTGGGGTGTTGTCTGCGTTGCTCAGGCCCTGGGCTGGCTGCTTCTCCCGTCTGTAGTGGCCCTCCATCATGGTCATGATCTGCCGCAACAGCTCGTCTGGGATGGTCTGGCGACGAAGTGGTCGGTGCCCTCTCTGCGATGACAGCTGCTGAGCCCTCAGGGAAGTCGCCTGACATCAGTGTAGAGACATCAGGCTGCATGGCGATCTCTGCTGATGTCACTGGTCGCTTCTTGTGTATGCGACGCCGGGATGATGATCGGTTGATCATCGTAGAGGCCCAGTTCAGCGGCTGGAACAATCTCGGTTGAGAAAGTCCTAGTAGACTTCGCTGATTTCCCCTCAGAGGTCGTGCTGGTAGCCCGCGCTGAGTGTTGGTAGCTTAACGGACCCTCAGGAAGATCATCGGTATCAGCGTTAGTACATCAGGCTGCATGTTGATCTGCGCTGACATCACTGTTGCCGACATCGGGTCATTCTTTGATGTATTATCAGGTATGATGATCGGCTGATCATCATACAGGCCCAAATCTGCGACGGAAACAATCTCGGCTGAGAAAGTTCTAGTAGACTTCGCTGATTTCCCTCAGAGGTCGACGCTGCCCTGGGGGTGTGAAGTCTGGCGCTGAGATGCAGTAGAAGCCCTCTAGTCTTCGGCCGCGACGATGGGATGTCTGGGGAAGCAGGACGCTTCTTGGAGGCGGGCGGACTACGCCCCACGCCTCTCCACCACTCTAGCGGAATACCAGACGGGAGGGGGTCGACCAACAGCAGTAGACTGGCGAGGGTTCAGGTGTATCAGTCATGGCTAGACTCTGCATACGCGACTCCATCTGCTGCGCGTCTCAAACATAAAGTATTTATTTATTAAAGGCAGAATTGATAAATTAGTACCGCAACTGCCACGTGAATAAAATGAACATGGCGCAGTACAGCTAGGGCATATTAAATGCGGATCAGCAGCAGAATAAAAAACGTAATCTGCAACAGTACAGAATTTTCATCAACGTAATCCACAGAACAAACATGGCGTCCCGTGAATAAACAGTAGAAACACGACTAAATATCAATATATAATTGTTGAAGGATACTAGCTAAACCTCTATAGATGTCTATACGAGGTAACTAACTAAATATAATCCAAGGATATAGTGTGTCGGGAGACACAGGCGCTCTCACGTCCAGCTCACTGGGCGAAGAAGGAGAGAGTGAGGCACATGGGTAGAGGTGGCGCTCTCGTTCCCGCGCTTGTGGAAGGGAGGTAACTCGTGATGTACTAATTAGTGATTTTACATTGAAGGGAGCTTCAATTAGGGAGATACAAGTGTTCCACTATGTTCGCAAGAAGAAGAAGACAAGCAAAAAGAGCATGAGTCAGGATAAGGAAAAATATTATCTTAACTAACAGACCACATCTGTATAATTGCCCATTAATGAAAAACATGATCCACTCAGGTTCAACACAAAAGTGCAGACAGTCACGCTAACTACCACAAGTAACACTACTGTACAATAACCGTAACCATGGTCACTTCATCATCACTAACCACATCAGTTACACATTTCACAAGATCTTTGGCAGAACAATTATTCCAGTACATTTCTACCTCACCCTACATAATCTTAAGTTAGGAACTAAACCTGAATGATTCAATTTACAAATTCAGGAAAATGTAAACTTATTTTATTTCACATTTGGCCAAATTTTGTCCATCAAAACCGATCCTGCTTTCTACACTCAGCAAGTACGGGATCCCATGTCAACGTAATCATAATGCCAGTTTTACAAAGCAAACATTCCTAAGCATTATATACATCATAGAGAAAGTACAAATGTTAGAAATGACGGATGAACAATCCCAGGAATAGGAGACAGTATGTCAACAGAATCTGTGGTCTCTTGTCATCATCTTTGCTCCAAATGTCTTCTTGCCAAATGTCTTCTCGCACGTCTTGATTTTTAAGACTTTTGTACACTGTACAAGTTTTCGATGATGCAAGTTTAAATGTCGTCAGTGGAGGAGGTAATATCTAGTCAGGATTCCAGTCCGAGTTCGAGCCTAGCACATAGTGGCTTTGTTTCATCTTTTGCTGTTGGTGTGACTAGCTCCGCGCATGGGCATCTTGAAGTTGGATGCAGCTTGGTACTGGAGCTGGTAGGCCAGTGGGTGTATCTTGAAGCCATACAGTCTGAAATAAACAACTGCTTGTTGCAAGGCAAGTAACACTTCTAGAGACCTCTTGTGATTACAGTGAGTGAGTAATTTTTGTTTTACGAAGCACTCAGCATTATTCCAGCTATATGGCGGCAGTCTGTAAATAATCGAGTCTGGAACAGACAATCCAGCTATCAACAGATTCCAGGCTTTAAAGAAATTATCCAAACGTACACTTCTCCATCAAGGACACTTGTTTGTGAGTCGAGGTAAAATCCTGCTATAAATTATGTAATAATGCAAAACATCAATCTTAGCAAGGTATCTGTAGTCGTCATGTTTCGCTCCAACCAACACAAGTCGAGCACAAACACAAGGACACTTTGTGTGGCACTGCTGCTTGACTGAGACAACCATGGACAAGGCTGATCCAGCTCAAAGCAGTGCATGGTGGAAACTTTGGAATGTGGGCACCTACTTGTCATTGTGCAAGATGGCACTAATTGTCTGATAAAGATCCGAGTTTAACAGAATTTGTAGCTGTGGACAGCATATGGGTATTTCTTTCAGATCTGTGTCTTCACCAGGGCACATGCCCCCTATTGTAAAAGCATAAGACCTTGTTGGCACTGACCTGGGAACAAACTGGTTGGCAGGGCGCTTGGGTCTGTACTCTGGGTGCACCATGAACAGCATGTGGGGGAAGCCTGTGCCGAAGTAGGCGCCGTCAGTGTGGTGGTGGCGGGAGGACTTGGGGGTGTATACATCTTGACACTTGGGGCAGTACAGCTTCACCATGGCCTCGCCGGGGACATCTGACAAACCTGAAACATCCACACTCAACTGTCGGAAGGAGCAGGGATACACATGGATGTTGTGAGTGAGTGACTGACTATTTACCATTGCATCAAACTTTGACAAGATATCTGTTGTCCTTATATTTTGCAGATCCCTAGGGCATCCTTAAGAACCACCCTGACTGGCACCTGACCAGAGGGCCCATTTCGTTCCATGATTACTTACCATAACATCAATCTTAAGCAAGGTATCTGTAGTCCTTATGTTTCGCTCCAACCAACACAAGTCGAGCACAAACACAAGGACACTTTGTGTGGCACTGCTGCTTGACTGAGACAACCATGGACAAGGCTGATCCAGCTCAAAGCAGTGCATGGTGGAAATTCTCCCCTACCCAGTAATTCATATCTCAGTTCTCTTGTGACCCTGAGGCTCCTTTCACGAAACAACCTTTACTAAGGTTAACATTAACTCCCATCCTTTAACATTGCACTTAACCTTAGTGACTTACGATAACCTTAGTGCTTTGTGAAAGGAGGCCCGAGGCCCATATACTACTGCAGCTTTATTTGGAATCCCATCCAGAAATATGATGCTAGAAACAGGAGACCTTTCGGCGATGGCTGAAAACTATACTGCTTAACGAAACAAGATGTCTTTTCAGTTGTACTCGGTGCATTCTGTACTGTACTGTCTCAAATACAACTTTGAAAGCATGGGTATAATTGATGACATCCGTTCCTGTCTGAATATCAAGAAAGCTCCCTTATTCTAAACATATCAGGTCAACATTTTGGAGGTAGAGCTGTATCAAACTCTCGTTCTGGCACGACAATGTGTGATACTCGCTTCTGATTGGCTGAGAGCTCATCAAAACCGTACTTAAATGACAGTTTAAGGACCGCTAATTAAAGTGACCGATTCATCGCGTATGAATACAACGAACTCGTTGACCCTATTGTTTGTAAACAAACATGTCGGACATCGGCAATTTCTATCTTGGCAGCATCTTTGGTGTTTTTGAAGTTAAAAGCGAATGGTTCGAAGAAGAATTTCTTGACCCTAATCCCAGTGAAGAAACCAGAAAATCTGTCAGCAGCCCAAAAGCGGCAGTATATTCGAAGTGGGTCCAGATTTATGTGTGTTGACGTCGGCCCACACGTCCTAACCTAACCGCTTCCGTCCCGGACGTAATGCCCAGTCCTTCCACTTCCACTGTCCATGTATCCCACATAAAACGTGGCATGTCAGGTCTTTTCCAAATTGGGAATAGTAGGGTGGTTATCAACAATTATTTCCGTGAATAAAGTTAGCGGCGACTAAACTTAGCGAGTTCACGGCTTGAATTTGGGCGAGTTGATTGTCATACAGTAGGGGAGATCAATAATTCGCTTGAGAAAAATCAAATAATTGTACTTGCTCACAGTATCAACTGTATTTTTTTATATTTATGTATGCTACTTGTTACAAATACAAGCATACTGGTTCCTGAAATATAGCATTTATGTTGTTGAAAATGTCTTATGTCGTTCATTACACAACCTGTCCCCAACGGGACGATTCCAAGCGATTTCCAGGAAAAGGCCCCTTTGGGCCTTGTGTTCTTGCGCGCCAAACAGTTCGGTTTTAAAACGCTTATCAGTCGTGCTAGAATGAAGATAAAGCTACACTGTTTTCAATTTTGCGGTCCTTTATCGTTGATTTAAGACCCCTAAATTAAACATTTAGCGGTCTTAAATCAACGATAAAGGACCGCAAAATTGAAAACAGAGTAGCTTTATCTTCTAATTCAGAAGATGTGTCATTAGTAAAAAGTAGAATTTTGGGATGAGTAAGCCATAAAAGAGAAAGAGGTTGTGACATTACCTAAAAAGGTAACTTTTATGATAAAATTGGTATTATATACTTATCCTGACTCACGCTATAATGCTATATTGCTTGGGGAAAGGGAGATAATCAATGTAGCATGCCTCATTAAAAGGAAAAATGAAATCTATGGTAGTGTATGGGTTTAGGGGTAGCATAATAGATTGTAGATGTTGCTCTGAATAATTCAAGAATCATATCCATTTCAAGTTGTCACTATACATCTGTTTGCAAATCTGGAAACCGACAATAGGTCAGAATCTGATAAAAGCCTGAATGATGCCACATTAACAGAATACAACTATCCCCCCTCCCTGATAACCATCAATGTTTAATCCACTAAATGCTGAGATCCAGGAGGGTAACAGTCTCAGACAGATGTGCATCAACCCCTTGACCTTGACCTCTCCAGGCAGACTCTTTATAACTAAGACCACTGAGGTCCAGGAGCGAGTGAGTGAGTTTAATTTTACGCCACACTCAGCAATATTCCAGCTATATAGCGGCAGTCTGTAAATCATCGAGTCTGAACCACACAATCCAGTGATCAACAGCATGAGCACCGACCTGCGCAGTTGGGAACCGATGACGTGTCAACCAAGCCAGCGAGTCTGACCACCCGATCCCGTTAGTCGCCTCTTACGACAAGCATGGGTTACTGAAGGCTCATTCTAACCCGGACCTTCACAGGTCTGAGGTCCAGGAGACAATAGTATGAGCATATATAATTTTCATTAATACGCCTGGTAGTGATGACAAGGAATTTTTTTTTTATTATTACCCCCAACACCACCAACCCCAAGCACTGAGAACCATCTTTACCGATAGGAAGCATGGGCTGGTTTTCACAGTACACCCGTGGACAATAGCCAAAGTCTCCCTGCTGCCATTTCTCAATCTGGAAACAAAGATCACAAAAACACATGAAGTAGTGAAAACACTGATGATAAGTGGAAGGAAAACACACATCATAAATTACAATATTTGACACAGCGGGACTGAAGCTCACCTTCCTTAGAAATCACGAGATAATGTTTTCTCATGAAAGCAATCTGAATAAGGTTCAGTATCGCTATTTGTTGATGATATAACTGATCATTTCACAAATTGGCCTGACATAATGAAGTATTAACATCTTCAACATGCAGGTAAACATAATACAGACAATATATAACAAGTGTAAAAAGTCATTCACAAAATATTTTCTTTATGAGGTTGCAATCAATCAATCAATCAAGTTTATTTTGTAAAAAAGCCAAAGGCCCATATCAAACAGACTTTTGTCCTTACAACTTGAAGTGGAATTAGAAAAGCAATTGATCTTGAACATCTTTGAGTTCCACTTGGCGGGATATGTCTAGAAGTTTTTAAGAAAGGCATTTCCTAACTTTGCATGGATGAGCCATGACATAGCCTACACTGACAGTGTCAAGGCAAGCTAATTATCAGGATAATGGTATCATATTCTTTCAAACAAGAAAAGGAAAATTATTCTATTTCGAGAGTTAATCAAATAGAGCACAGAACAGGCTTACATCAATTATCTCGTCATATTTCATAATGCAAAGAGATGAGAGGATCAGATTAGAGAGTCATTAAACAATCTCCTCTACAAAGAACTAGAAGTGTAACATGAATATCATCAGTACTTCACATGTTTGTATACACCATGTTCTTCCGTTATCTTGAATACATAGAGACTTTGTGCAGTCTCCAGTTTAACTTACAAGTCATAAAACTGTTTCCAGTGAAATACGAAACACAGACAGCTCAGAGTGAGTGACTTTGGTTTAACGACACTTTTAGCAATAATCCAGCAATATTAAAGTGGGGGGACACCAGAAATGGGCTTCACACATAGTACCCATGTGGGGAAATGAACCCGGGTCTTCGGCGTGTCGAGTGAATGCTTTAACCACTAGGCTACCCCACCGCCCCCTGACACCTCAGACCAATGAGGGATCACATTACATCGTACAAGTGCAATATTTCTAGTGCAGCATGTGCAACAGATTTACAGCTGACTACTCTACACTCTTCTATATCAGAAGCTTGGGTTGCATATATACTCCCCATCAAAAGTTAAGACTCACTAGTGTAAATGTCACTCTCCTACCCAGAGTTCCATGCGGCCAGCCAGCATAGTACCTCTGCCACAGGCCAGAAAGATGTGACAATTCGTCACATCTTGCACCGTTCATTCAATATAATGTACATATTTCTTAACACTTTTATTTTTGACGAGTCTACACATCTAATTAAACATCTTTGATAGAATGGTTTAGTTTCACTGAAAAAATATCTTAAAACATCTAACACTATTTCGATTTGCGTAGCGATCCTTTGTTTACATAGGTTGTACGGCTCTACGTGCTGTCATCGAAGCCGACGGAGAGAGCAAACGATGCAGCCAGTTTGATGTCTAAAATATGTACTGTCATAAATCTTACTGTCGCAGTTGTGGAAGAATATACATGTAACAATGTAAAACATTGTGAAGAGCGTGAGTCCAGTCTCTTCTTATTATGAATATGCTAGTTTGTTTACAAACAAGAGAAAAGTCTGATCATGTGATATGCAAATTAGCCTGTTGCAGTGATGTTATGCTAAGTCATCACTGTGCCGGAGTGTGTAAATTTAGCCACTTACTTCAGTCAACTGTTCTGAACCAGATTTTGTAAAATAATCCATACAGTTTAAAGGTACTGTTTATACATGAGCTGATGTATTGCAAAACAAATTTGTTATGTTGAAAAGGTCATGTGTTGAAACTCGTTGAAAAATGACGATTTTTTTATCAAAACTTTACACCAAAACGCAGATGTTCACATGCACGATATTTGCACATGCTTTTCAGCAATTTGATGCATGATCCTCGTGCAATTAATCTGCATAAGGTTTGCAGATGTTTCCCCCAAGTTAGTGGAGAAATTCATCTTCGTTAACCATATGTACATACATAACTTATAGTGATTGATTTAATCAAGTCTAAACTTTTGATGGGTAGTATACTTCATGAGCAGGAATCATTTGCTATCTTTAACAGACTCACTTCACTGACTCACCAAAAAAGACAGATATTACTCTTCTGCCATGCAGCAGCCATATGACTTCACAGATATGGAGGAACATGGTGTGTACAAGGCATGTAAAGAACCGATGTGATACGACATTTGTGGAATCCATTGTGACATGCACAAATGCTCTCAAATCAAACACTCAACATGAGGGTCTAGTCTAGATGTGTTTTAACACCTAGCAAGTCATCACACAATCTTCCCAGTGGAATTAGAGAATTATTTGGAATCGGTAGGCATCAAAATAAGCAGTTGTCAGTAATGACTCTTTCTGATGAGGCAAACAGAAACGATGTAGGTAGGACTGAACAAATGATTGATATGAGGAATTAGGTTATTTCAGTTGATAAATGTTACCATGGTTACTGGTCAGCCAACACCTTATATTGACAATCTGTAGAAAATCAATTTCTTACCACCAGTAGCTTTTATTCTTTATACATCTCTTTTCTGGGAATTATGAGATTCTGGGTAAACATATCTTCCTATTTAGGTTGTAAACTTTGGTATGTTCTTTCCAGTGGACAGCCAGAAAGAAATGGACCAATATTCATTGTGTGTACTGCCTTCTATTGAATCTATTTATTAGGAAAGAAAATATTCCATTATGAAACTCTTCTTGACTTAGTCTATATTAGACAGAATCTGAAACCCAAATGTGGCAAATTGAGGTATTCTTCCATCATTTACACTTACTGAAACACAAGTCACAATGTGTTTCTTTGAGGTTGAAAAAGGGCCATGTTTTAGAAGGCAGCAAAAATAATAGATATTATCTTGGACAGGCTGTTCTCTAGGAATTGGCATTTCATGGCTGTAAGATTGAACTCATAATCCTGGCTTAGCTATGGAAAGGATATGGCTGTCCAAGGTAGAACTTACTGGAAGTAAAGAGAGTTCTTGTCTTGGTGTAACTGGTACCTGTGGAGTGTCTCTATCTTTATCATAGTCCAACCTATGTTAATATAAGTTTAGCACGTAGTAAATATGGGGAAATTGAAACTTGAATTGCCAACGACCCAACAGTTAATTCAAAATGAATCCTTATGTTGGTTCAAATGTCCGGTACCCTTAAAATACTGCCACGTAGAGACATTTAACACTGACTGAATCAAAGTTTACGTGGCCTACCCTGTCTAGGTAATATGTCTTGAGTGGGCGTAGCAAGCTTACCATCTGGGCAATGCCTCGATTAGTCATAATGTATCGGGCGTGAATCAAACCATATAGCATCTCCGCAGCCTGTTCAATTAGATCACTCTGATTTGGGTTGTCTTCTAGTTCGTCATCTATACAAAAAGCAAAATGAGCGTTAATCACTTGTACAGATTCTCATCTTGTCGTCACCCACTGGGGTTGTGAGGATCGGGACTGCCATTCCTCATCAACAAACATTCATGTGAAGTATCTGTAATGACCTCATAATTACATTGTTAGTTCCAAGAAACAACTAGTGTCAAACTGTCAATGTCTGGCAGGTGTAAAATAATCAAGAACTATCAAGCTATTAATATGGGCTTTTAGAATTCAGTATGTCACTGAAAACATATAAAAAATCCAAAATATACTTAACTTGAAAAACCAAAAAAAACCTATATAGTTCTTTTTCCAAGCCAATACCTTCATCAAATTTTGCTCATGGGAACATGTGTTGTCTGTTCACACAGTGATATATAGACAACTAAGTGTTTTGATGAAGATACTGGGTGACGGGAAATGAGAATCTGTATCGTATAAGGAAATGTTCAGCTTTGTAACGAGTCATGATGATGGAGTACAGTGACATGAAGTGACATGAAGTAGTCAGTATGTCAGTACGTTTCCCAGATATTGTCTTCCTCTACAGTCGCACCACAACCAGATCTATCATGCTGGTATATCTCTGTGTGAAGACCCAACTATCCAGGGTACCATTCCACAAAGTGATCGTAGAGCTAAGATGATCGTAACTACCATACTTTAACATAGAGTAGTATAGGGAATGGGGGTTCTGTGACAGGCCGATTAAGAGCGTCATTATATATCTATTCCGCTTCCAGCCCCCAGTATAAATTAACAATTTCAATCAGAGACACCATTCGATGCACATCATAGGAGCCTTAAAATCTGTAGAGTTTCGGCAACCCCGGCCGGGAACGAGGACGGCGCCAGCCACCAGTTCCCCAAGGGATTCTGTGACAGGCGAACTATGAGCGTCATTATATACCAATTCCGCTTGGTATTGTGATAGTTGTCTTTTTGGAGGCATTTGGTTGCGCAGTATATCTACATTCGCAAAATATTGTCTATATGGGAATCTAGGGCACACTAGACATACTGGGGTACACTAGACAGAACCTAGAAGTTTGCTTGTTTTGCTAAGTATTGCTAAGCATTTGCTAAGTATTGCTAAGCATTGCTAGGAGTTTCCTGGGAAAGGTTGGGATTCCTTGGGAGGATTGGGATTCCTGGGGAGGATTGGGATTACTGGGAGAGGATTGGGATTCCTGGGAGAGGATTGGGATTCCCATATAGGCATATAGGAAGTATGGGTATATATATGCCTAGGAAAAACAACCATGCCACCAAAAAGAGATTTACCTTCGGACAAGATCCAAGAAATACGCTCCCTTCGAGGGGTGCTCCCAGCAAATGAGGTTAAAAAGCGCTTCGGTATTGGGTCCACAAGACTCTATGACATATGGAGAGATCCAATCGAAGAACCAGAAGTATCATTGCCAGTCGATGACCTACAAGTATCGTTGCCGGTCGACGAACCACAAAAGGTGACTCGGGATAGTTCGAAAGTTACAATACCTGGTAGTACGTTACCAACCATCCAGGACTTCTACGATCGCCTGGGGAGTCTCGAGGCTCGTGGATCAAACCGCCAATACATCGCCGAATTTGTTGGTTGACATCCTGTCGAGGTTGGATAAGGATGATGACAATGACGAAGTCCTGGAGGAAATAGAAGAGGAACAAGAAGACACCCGTCTGGGTATCCAGAAGGTGCGGGAGATGGTAGAATCAGCCCAAAGGTTAACCTATGTTTCGATAGCTGCCGTATTACTCTGGAAGGTCATCCACAAGACCTGGGAGCATAGCAAGCCAGCAACACCCAAACCCCAAACCCCGGACCCCTTTCACATGTAGTAACATTCATTTAGACATTTGACTCCGCATAAGGTATACACCATGTGGCCCGTGGGAACCCATTATTGCAAATGGGTATTGCTCGGCAAGCCGACAGCCCGCGTAAACGCTGTATGACTGAATATTGCCACTGCATGCCCACTGTGTGAGAAAGGGTCATATCAATTATGTTTGCAAAGTATGCGGCATAGGGTCAAAGGACATTATGGGTTGTGCAAAGACCATGGAAGGGACGTGAGTTCAAACCAACTTATTTACGATAAGAAGAAAGACTACCTCAACGAACGTAACCGACTGCTCAGGACGAAAGTTTAAGGTGCGCTTCATTTTTGAAAGCTGACAGGGTTATCTGCACATTGAAAACGCCTATTAGACATGTGGCTCCGCGATATGGTATACACCATGACTACTGCCATCGAACTCAAAGCTCTCGCCAAAAGTCGTGGACTGACGGGTTATTCCCGCCTTTAGGAAACCCCAACTGCTCACCTTGCTCGATATGAAATATACCAAGCCCCCTACCATGCGAGACCTCAAACTCCATGCTAAAGAACGCTGGATTGAAGGGTTATTCCCGCATGAGAAGAGCCGAGCTGATCACCTTGCTGGAAGACACCAGGCCAGTCGAGTTGAGATTTGTGCAGACGGAGCATGCCGCGGGTAAGTATCTCCGGGTTGATAATGACGGTTGATTCCAATATCGATACCGTACAGTCAAACCCCCATCGCTAGTAAACTCCGCTAAGAACTAGGCTTAATTTGAAAAGCATCAAGTACCAACTAACGATGAAAATGGAGCTCCAAAACAGAATACGGACGGCAGTACTGAGTACGCTTGCACCTTATTTCAGAGGCAAGCAGGAAGTCCTAACCCAACCAGAATTGATTGAATCCTCCATCGACGATCGCTGCAGAAAATACAAGAGTCGTTGGAGAGATATACCCATATGGGCTCTGGATGGGTGGTAGACAAAATCAACACCGCTTATCTCGACATAGCTTAACTACATGCCGCCAAAGGTGGGTTGCACATACCGGTGCCCAAGCATTTCAAGGCTAAAAGGCCCTCGTTAACCCCAAAACCCAAGGCTTAATTTATGTTAACGACATTGCGCGGTGGTGGCGGTCATAGCTGCTACGCATGAACCAACGGGCAATCCGGCAGGCGCTCCAGCTATCCATCGATCGAAGAATCTGGTTCGACTTCACGGGTGTAGAATGCTTAACACCCATCTCCTACTGGGCTTAATTCGAAAAGCAGAACAAGGTGGCCGTCAACGTGTTCGCCAATGGCTTACACAAAACCATCGCGGCATAGGATAAGCCCTGTGGGTGATAAAACCGCGCGTGAAACCAATATATTCCTCATCGAAAAAGACGGCCAGTATCACTACACGGCAATAAAAATCTGAGCCGGCTGTTGCACGATCAATCGATGCACAGAGAAAAGAAACACTTCTGCTTAACGATGTCTGCACGGTTTTACGCGAGCCGACCTGCTGCAAGCACACCAGGGGATTGCTTAGGTGTAGGAGAGACGGCGATCCGAATTGACATGCCTAAGGAAGGCGACAACATCTTGAAATTCACCAACCACAAAAATCAGATGCCTGTGCCTTACATGATCTACGAGACTTCGGCCCTCATCAAACGGTCGGCCACGACGCGCCCAACACTGAGCAAAGTTTTACGTGCAAGACCCAAGAACACCAAGCCCGCGGGTTCGGCACGTGGTCGTCCGATGTGATGGACAAACGAATGCTCCAGTCATCTACCGAGGTCCTGGCGCGTCGAACGATTCCTGATGTGTTTGCAACAGGAAGAGAAAATCATTAGGAAAAGGCTGTACACCGCTGCCCCCATGCGCATGACGCCGAAGGACCAAGTCGGCCACAAGCGTGCTGAGAATTGCCATATATGTCAGGGGCCGCTGAATGGGGATGTTGTGAGAGATCACTGCCACATCACCGGCCGGTACCGAGGTGCCGCCCATAACGCGTGCAATCTCCAGCTTAGAATCAACCCTAAAACAATCAACATCCCCGGGGTCTTCCACAATCTGAGAGGGTACGATGCCCACCTGATCATGCAGGCCATCTCAAAGGTCGACGGTGATATCAAGTGCATCCCCAACAACATGGAAAAATACATCTCATTCTCACTCAACGGCCTGAGATTCATTGACAGCGCTCAGTTCCTCCTATCATCGCTCGATAGCTTGGTCAAAGCCAATGACACCTTCCCCATCACTGGTCGATACACCAATGTCGAGACTCGGCCCCTGCTGATGAGGAAGGGTGTGTACCCATATGAGTACATGGATGATTGGTCTAAGTTCGATGAGACCCGATTACCTCCCATCGGTCGATTTTATAGCAGCCTGACCGAATCCCATATCTCCCAAGACGATTACGACCACGCGCAGAATGTGTGGGGGAAACTGGGATGTAAGAATCTGGGTGACTACCACGACCTGTACTTGAGAACGGACGTGCTCCTGCTAGCCGATGTGTTCGAGACGTTTAGGAGGACGTGTTTGAAACAGTATCAACTCGACCCTGCATGGTACTACACCAGCCCCGGGCTATCGTGGGATGCGCTGCTGAAGAAAACCGGAGTTAAGCTGGAATTGCTCACGGATTACGACATGCACCTGTTCATCGAAAAAGGATTGCGAGGTGGGATCTCCATGGCCGCCAAACGGTACGCAAGAGCCAACAATAAGTACGTGGAAGGCTACGACTCTAGCAAGCCCACCAATCATCTCCTCTACCTCGACGCCAACAACCTGTACGGTTGGGCTATGAGTCAGTCTCTGCCTACTGGTGGGTTTGAGTGGTTGAATAATGAGATCGATATCAACGAGCATCGCTACCAGATTCAGGGAAGGGTTACATCCTCGGCGGATCTGGAGTATCCCGAGGCATTGCACGCTGCTCACAACAGCTACCCGCTGGCCCCGACGGTTGATGGTCTGCCGAGACTGGATGTCCGACTATCAGCGTGACTTGTTGGGTGAGAACACCCTGGCTCGTGTGGAAAAACTTGTCCCGAACTTGATGAATAAGACCAAGTACGTCGTGCACTATCGCAACCTACAGCTGTACCTATCGTTGGGTATGAAGCTGACCAAAATTCATAGGGTGCTGAAGTTTGATCAAAGTCCTTGGATGGAGCCCTACATCAGAATGAACACGGACCTGCGAAAGCTGGCCACCAGTGACTTCGAGAAGAACTTGTATAAGCTCATGAACAACTCAGTGTTTGGTAAGACGATGGAGAACCTGAGAAAACGGGTGACGGTCAAACTCGTATGCGATCGCACCAGGAGGAAAAACTCAGGAAGCTGATCGCTAGCCCGCCTTCAACAGAAGCAAGCTATTCGATAACGACTTGGCGCGCTGCACATGAACAAAGTCACATCAAGCTCAACCGACCCGTCTACGTGGGGATGAGCATTCTCGACCTGTCCAAACATCTCATGTATGATTTCTACTACAACCAGCTCAAGAAGCAATACGGTGATCGATGCGAGCTGCTGTACACGGACACGGATTCCTTGTTGCTGGATATACACACCGAGGATGTGTATGAGGACATGGCAAAACACATACACCTGTACGACACCAGCGATTACCCCAAGGACCATGCCCTACACAACACGATCAATAAAAAGGTCCTTGGCAAGATGAAAGACGAATGCGCTGGCACACCCATCGCCGAATACGTTGGCTTGAGGCCTAAGATGTACTCCATCTTGAAAGCTGATAAGGGTGAGATCCGAAAGGCAAAGGGGGTCAAGAAATACGTGGTGAAACAACACATCAAGCACGTCCTCTTCAAACAAGCTCTGTTCAAGAATAAGACGTTCAAACACCGAATGAATGCGTTGAGAAGCGACAAACACAACATCTACGGCATCACCCTCAAAAAGACGTCGCTGTCGCCCATGGACACCAAACGGTGGATCGCCGCCGACGGCGTCACGACTTACGCGTACGGGCACACGCTCATAAACCACTGAGTGGTTGGCCTGGGCTGTGCATCGAATGGTGTCTCTGCTCAAAGCGGAATTGGTATATAATGGCACTCTTAGTTGGCCTGCCACAGAATCCCATTCTATGACCGGGGGTAACTGGTGGCTGCTTAGCATCCGGCGCCGTGTACTGCAGTCCTCGTTCCCACCCGGGGGTTGCCGAAACTCTACAGATTTTAAGGCTCCTATGATGTGCATCGAATGGTGTCTCTGATTGAAATTGTTAATTTAAACTGGGGGCTGGAAGCGGAATAGATATATAATGACGCTCTTAATCGGCCTGTCACAGAACCCCCATTCCCTATACTACTCATAGACTTACGACTGTCGTAGCGCTAAGATGATCGTAACTCCCATACTTTAACATAGACTTACGACAGTCGTAGCGCTAAGATGATCGTAACTCCCATACTTTAACATAGACTTACGACAGTCGTAGCGCTCAGATGATCGTAACTACCATACTTTAACATAGACTTACGACAGTCGTAGCGCTAAGATGATCGTAACTACCATACTTTAACATAGACTTACGACAGTCAAAGCGCTGTGATCGCTTTGTGGAACAGGACCCATGTCAGGTGTGTTGAACTTTCTCACTTTCTGTCAAGGCTTCTAAAGCCTTAGTACAGAAGAATGACTATCAAAATTATCAACTGCTGAATTCCACTTGCCATAAACCTACATAGCTACAGGTGAGTTTGCAAGCATGGTATCATATTGTCATTGACTGAATACTGGCAAAGTGGCATCATATACATAAAACTACTGCAGTGAATACTGCACAAAAGCACTGTCTTTCTTAATATAATACAAATATATTACACTGTGATGGGCTGAAGGGACATGTGACTGTCCAAGGTTAGCAAAAGAACAAATACAGATTCGCAGGCACCTAAAACAGCAAATTAAGTACAATTATTGAAAGAAATTCTGCACACTGCTCTAAAATATCTAATATATATGACCCAAAGGAGTAACATTTTATTGAATACCTGAAGAAAACTATCAATAACAAGTGAATGTTTCCATATAAGTAACCACTCCTGGATCTAGAACTGGACCTGGCATGATGGAGATAGTTTAGTAATGGTGGATGTGCAACGCCGCTGGGCTCCAAACAGCTGAATGCATGCATGCATAACAAGCAGGCACTGATCAGTCAACAAGACTACCTAGGAACTTCTACAGGGGGGTTTAAAGAGGCAGTCAACATTGGGGAAGCCCCATTCAGCTGGGAACCTCCATGGTGTGCGACAAGTGAAGTTCAACATGGGAAGGTTCTTGGCAGTGTGAACATTTGCAGTGCTTAGCAAAGAGAACTTGTAGTGTCAAATTGAATTCCCGAATTTGCCAAAAACAATATTTCTGTAGACAAGATCAACTGAGTAAAAAGACATATTTCCAAAAAAACCTAATTATTTCCTACCTTGTTTCATACAAAATCGAACCATTTACCATTTCAGAAGCATACCAACAGTGTTCATTCTAAAGCAGGGGCATATTCACAGTTTTGTAGCAGGACATCATCCAACTATTTAGCAGGACTATTTCACATCTACTTACCAGGACAACTTAACAGGGCAATTCCAAATCTACTTCGCAGGAATATATTCACATACAAAGCAGGGCAACTCCACAACTACCAAGCAGGGCAACTTCACATTCATTTATCAGGGCAACTTCGGTCTATTTAACAGGGCAACTCCACATCTATTTAATAGGGCATTCTCACATTTACTAGCAGGGCATCTATTTAGCAGGTTGTCACCTCACACAGGGCATTGTCACATCTCCCACTTAGCAACAATGACCAAAGTGTGCCTAGGCCCCAGCCCTTTTTGGACTACTAGAATGTTAATTCATTGTGACTTAAGCAATTGTTGCTAGCACGTTTACAGCTATATGTCTGAGGCACGTTAAGGGGTGCAACTAGAATGAACACTGTACATCTATCAAGTTTTGACAATTGATGAAACGAAAGATGATCTGACTGTTCAAACCAAGGCATTATTCAGCCATATATACAATAATCAAGGCAATGTTTTCAAATGGACATATTTACTGTTACAATCCACTTTTAAGCTATTGAAAAAAGACATTGTCCCCCACCTGTCACACACCTGACCCCTACCCCCAGGGCAGCAGAGGCTTACCATCTTACAGATGCCGGAATTGGTAAGTACGAATCTAGCATGTATCTGACAGTATAGCATCTCGGCAGTGTGTTCGATCACATCTGTACCAGGGGCCTCCTCCTCTTCATCTAGACACAGGGTAGATTGTTAAACACACCACCAAAACTAACCTACATTCCTCTAGTAAAGTGGTTGAAATTAAGAATCAGGGTCAAAGGGCCTTCATATTAGAAATAAGACATCAGTGGCGTTACACTCGTACACTACATCGGGAGAAACATTCCAGGATAATTCTAAATTTAATAAACTGAAGTACATGATAACATGTATTACTAGAGCTAAACGGGTGGTGAAGGGTCTTTTAGTTTTATGCTGAAACAGATGTGAAAAAGAGTCAAATATTCAGAGATTCCAATTTAACTTATTGTTAACCTGAAACATTCACCTTGTTTAGCAGCATAGAGAAACCATAATGACACCCCTCCAATATCCACTAGCTGTTTTAATACCTTCAGCAACAGACAAACTGACAGGCAGGCGTAAAGCACCCAACTGTATCCCTCATGGTAAAACATATACGGTAAATTTAATAGATCTGTTTGTTATGATGGCTGACATGCCACACATGTTCTTGGTTTTCACAACAATGGTTAATTGTAATACACAGAACAGAATAGCCTAGATCACATGTCCCTTGAGTAATTCAAAGTTGACAGTTGATAGACAATTTAACTCTTCCCACCCAGACAACTCTCCACTTGGTGACACTTCCCTACAGCATAGACACAACGTAAACAAAAGAAATATACATGTACTTCCTCATTCAGCCCAAACTAGAATAGGGAAGTTATGCTGTGATCATGGTGATGTGTATTAAAACAGTAATTTAGAGTTTGTCAGTAAAGGTCTAATTTCAACCTTTGTCTAAGTGACAATTGCACTTATATTTAATCTTTGAATGCTCCAATTCTACTGCAATGACTTCAGAAGACAAAAACGAGTCATAATATTTGGGCTGTCACAAAAGCTATTATCCAACATGGGGAAAAACAATTTGGGGCATAGTTTCCAGATTTCCATTTTGTTCCTAACAGTGTTGAAGATGATATCTGGAATCCCAAACAAGGCATGCTGTTATTGGCCGTGCAGTCTGACATACCTGGTTCCAGGTCTAAGATCATGTCTAGGGCTTGTCTGTAGTGTGGCACTTGCTCATTGAGACCAGTCAAGTTAAACTTGTCCTGAATATAGTCCTCATCCACCTGAAAACGCAAAGAATGTTCTGTTTGTTCGCTGTTTAATCAAATTAATGCTCAGTCAAATTCTGGCTATTTGTAGACTGTATAAAATGGACCAAGTCACTGTATCTGACCACTGATGACCTAATCCATTTTCGCATCTCACCAAACAGAACTTAGTGAAACCCTTGACCACATACATGGTACTAATAAACACAGAAACATAACCATGCAAGCTTAGATTTGAAACTATGATCAGCGTTTTCTGGCACGTCCAAGGGACACAACTCTCCACAGCCAACAGTTGTGCCTTTGATGACTTCTGCATCAGATATCCAGGGCTAAAAATCCAATTGAATGCTTGCATTAACAAGTGGCATCTGGTGATGGCAAGATACAAAAGAAGGAAAAGGACTGGTACAACTGTTTGTGAATATACACATGGACTGCAAAATGGAAAGAACTTTTCCTGGTTTAAAAAGATTTTTTTGTGAACATACCTCGCAGAAGAACTCATTTCCCCTCAGCCCGCAGAACCAGGATATCCAGGAGACTTCTTCAGAACTGCTCATGATGCCTCTGTGTCTGAAAGCATCCATCAATAGGGTTATCACAATATACCCGACTCATGTATTGATACACATATCACAATATTTTATTTGTACCATTTTGAAAACTAACTTAGTACCTTCTAAAAAAGTTAACTTGTCTTTCTTTTCAATATTCACAATATCTTCTACTGAAAATGAGTTTACATTTATCATGACATACAGATGATATATAGCAAAGTTTGGTGTGACACAGCAATTAGTTTTATTTAGGCCTGTAATGATACACCATCTTTTCAATATATACTATTGCATCAATAAAGCATCATTGCAGCAAGAGTGTTATGTATATAATGGCATCTAGATACGGCAATCCAGTGATTGACATAATGAGCACATATGCGTTTAGTATGTATTACAAGTGTATGTTGCTTGGGGACCTTATTCTTGATTGGAATTCCAACAGGTCTGACTAAAGAATTGAAAGATACATAGGTTTCATAAATGTAAAGCCTGATAAGCTAAATGGAACAGATGAGAATAAACAGACATGTTGTAGCTAATCATAACGGGATACACCCGAACCGGCCCCAAGCCGAACCGGCCCCTCGATATTTAACCCAAACCGGCCCCTGGATATTTAACCCAAACCGTCCCCGCACCCGAACCGGCCCCTGGGTTAACGATAATCAGACAGACAATTAATGAAGATTTCAATTAATTTATTATATATATACAGACATGAAGATTTCAATTAATTTATTATATCGATACAGACATGAAGATTTCAATTAATTTATTATATAGATACAGACATGATTTTACGCAAGGCGAAGATAACAGTATACGGTGCAGTTGACATTGAGTGAACGCAATCAGTGTCAAGTAAGAGCATACGCTTAAGACAACATGTAAATTAATTCGCTCACGATAATCCGTTCAATGAAATATTAAAACAACACATGCACTTTAATCGCTCAGTGAGACGCGCGTAAAATAACAGTTTAATTTTGGAGCTGAAGAATGTTTTAGTTTTCATAATGTTAGCAGAATTCAGTCTGTGAAAGGTGGTTAATGTGTGCTGAAAATCTTGACAAATGTTCCACACATGGAAACATGGGAAAAGATGAAGGACGACATTATTTTTCGTTACTGGAAACTTGGGCATAACAAAGGTGAAACGTGAATTCATTATATTGGATTTATGTGCTATTCTTGTATTGAATTAATGTGTCAATTCTGTGGATACGATACAATGAAATGTAAGTACACCTTTTACTTTAGTATTGTTTTGCAATTGTTCTTCTAGATTCTTAAAAGAATTACATAAAATGTCCTCTACCACGGGATCTCCGTGATCAGCAGCACTTGCATGTTCACTTGCCTCGCATCGACACTAATATTCGCTAAAAAATGTTTTACAGAAATCGTCATTACATGTAAAGACATATGAGTAATATGTTTTCGTCATTTATGTTAAAGGAACTTTAATTCATATGTCAATGTAGAAATATTCTCGGGGCCGGTTTGGGGCAAATATCAGGGGCCGGTTCGGGTTAAATATCAGGGGCCGGTTCGGGGGTAATTCATCATAACATCATATCATATTGTCTGCCTGTGTATTTGATATACAAGCGGGTCCGGTAATTCTGTGCAGCTGCAATAGCGTACATAGGTAAACATCGTCTGCTACCACATTTATGCTTGAAATCGGGACATTTCTACAAGGGACTGGCATTTTATCACTAAAGGTAAGCAAATAACAGTAATTGACAGATAAATTGACAGTTTTATGAAAAGTCGTTTTCTTCAGACCTTTAAACCTTTTTCTTCATTATTCATAATTGGACTTAATATGAAACACTCTTCCTTACATTGATGAAGTGATTTTTGAAAATAATCTGGCCCTAATGCGCTTCCATACTTCAGATCTCCAGCTGGATGTTATGCGCATCAGTTGCTACGCAGAATTACCGGACAGCAAGCGATGGTGTCAGAACGCCGGTAAGGTCAACCATATGGCATAATGCAACATTAGAATCTTATAGTTGTCAATAAAACTTATACTTCTAGGAAAATGTGATGCATACCAGGATGTTTAGTCACATAAACCACAAAAAATAAGAGACATTAGTTGCTGTTGCAATCGATGTGCTCAGGTGCAGGGAATTACCGGACGGCATTGTAGTTGTAATCTGCAGTCCCTCCGTATCTGACAAGTATTCAACCTACAAAACGCTGATACAGCATCTATTTGGAGTACTGTTGCTGAACCAGTTGACTACCATGCACAAGGCAACTAACCTCATATAGAAAGTCTGTGGTTAACATCTCAACATAATACTTTTACTCCTGCAAATGTAATAAAAATCAGATCTTTGTGGCAGCAATAAAGATCCGAATTGGATGTTTTCACAACATTAGCTCTAACTGGTAATCAAAAAGCACAACCCATGCACATGTTAAAACAGCAAACCTACATGATTCCGGGTGTTGCAATAAAGAATACAAATGGTTGATACAAGTAAAAACCTCCGAAGGGAACTTGTTTTAATATCTGAGCATCCACGTTACTTTACTAGCCATTTCTTCTCCGAACATGTCAAACTACTGAAACAGTCTGTATTTCTGGTAACTTTTGTCAAAACGTATCACACTCGAGAATCAAGAGTTGATGAAAATACGCTTTGGGTGTCACATATGTTTCATAAAACCCAACTATGTTAACTAAAACGAATGAAATTTTGTAATAGACATTAAAACATATACTTACCACCAATTTACCTTGTATCAAGTCGGTTATGGAGACGACGGAAGTACTGTGCGCATGTGTCCCGCAGCGCCCCCTGGCGTCAATAATAGGAACGAGACCGACTGGTGGCTGTGAATCAATTCTACACACGTTTTGATGACATCATAGTTTTCGAAAACGCGTCGATGTACAAACGAAATTGACCGATTATCTGAACCAGAATTTCGCAAATGTACCTTTACACCTACGTTTTTTTTTGTGTGTTTTTTTAAATTTTCGTCCCGGTTTCATTAACGAAACAAAATTGAATTGAAAGTATATCCATACGGACAGGAGCCAATCCACTGACATTAATACTTTTATTCATAAATATCCATCTATATCTCATTCATTGTTTCAGGGAGACTATATAACGGGGTGTTGTAAATTATCCCTGATTGGTTCAAGTTTAGTTTGGGATCCTGAACCAAAACTAAAACTTTGTAATTTTTAAATCGTACCGTAACCCATTTAGGAAAGATCTAGTGGTTGAAATAGGTTCATTTCTAACTATTATAACTTGTTCTAGAAACTTCCTTAAGTGGCATTTAGAAGCTGGTATGATGAAGTGGAACACTTTTTACGGATAGACAACTTCTTTGTTGCAGTAGTTGTGACGTTTCGGTGTAGATCCTAACACCGTTATCATTTGCTTGATAATGGTGTTAGGATCTACACCGAAACGTCGCAACTACTGCAACAAAGAAGCTGTCTATCCATAAAAAGTGTTCCACTTGTTCCAGAAACGATAAACACTTTTAGCCGTTTTGAAGTGATCGAAGTATTTCTGATCCTGGCGAGCAAGATATGAAAGTAATGAAGGAACAGTAGTGAATATGAAATAACTATATCTCCAAAACGAGCACGCTGAATATGGTCTTGCATTGGTAATGGATTGTTCAGGGTTTTGCACAAACTTTGAAAAAAGAGAGTCATGGTGACCCACAGTATTTATTTTTGGGAGCCATTTTCCATATTTGAGAGTCATTAAAATTTTAGCACAATATTTATGTCTGTATATCGAAAGCAAGAGTTTTGCAAAGATTTTATTGCTTTGTGTTGTATTGTCATTTATATGTTAGTTAATAAATAGTGCATTTTTCACTGTTCAGTTCAGTCATAACAAACTCCAGTATACTGAACAAATAATCAGGCTTGTGATTTATTCACTGTAACATACAGTTATTGAGATGAATTGAAACAAATATCTAAATTAATGAAGATCTCACGAAAACTATCATTGTTTACTTATAAGATCGATTTTATTGACTCTGAAATGAATTCTGAAAGTCACTCATAAAACTTGCGTTAAGCTTGACTCGTATGATAATATTTTGAGAGTCTTTTACAAAATTGTTGCGTCAAATACCCAAGAATCACGCGTCATGTAAAACCCTGAATGTTGAAAAACAATTCAGTGACAACTCAAGATTTTTTTAGATTGAATTGTGTCTTTTATCACAGTACTTACTATCAATTCTCAACGGACATAACAACAAAACGTGATGAGGCCTTAAAAATTGTTTATGAACACTTCACACATATGTGTAAATTGCTTTGTTCAGAGGTACAGATAAGCTGCGTATCTGCGTAAATTACGCAAATATTATGTGAAAACTCAATTCCTATTAAGCCTATTGCGTAGAAGTACGCTTGAACTTTTGTAAATACTTAATAAATGTGATCTTACATGCGTACACACAAACTGTCAAATCTTAGCCAGCGTACCGGGGGTTAGATAAATAACTCAGGTATACTGAGAGGTTCTATTTCAGGAAATGAACTTGACAACTTGCAGTTTCTCATAATGCAGATAAAACATAAATAACAAACACCAACATTTAAACTTTATTACATTTTTAAAATTAATGGAAAATTGCAAAATACCCAAATGTCTTTGAGTGAGGTGAGTACAATTTATTTGGTTACTCAAAGGAAAATTAGGATACCCAATTGAGATGAACACAAGCGAGTACATAACTCAATGACCCCAAAAGTCTTCTGTAGGTCTGTTTGTTGCAATATTCTTACCAGTGTTAAGTTTTATAATACTTTTGTGAATGTTTGAGCATTTATCCACAATGGCCATACTATCATAATATATCTTAATGTTAATCAAGTTTGTAATGTTCTTCTGTAATTCTAAGGGCTGTGAGATAGCCTATGGTAAAAGCGTTCGTTCGTCACGTCCAAGACCCTTGTACGATTCCCCACATAGGTGCAATGTGTGAAGCCCATTTCTGGTGTCCCCCGCTGTGATATGGCTGGAATATTACTAAAGGCGGCGTAAAACTAAACTAACTCAGTCACTCACTCTGTATTTCCATGTGTTTATGAATAAGCTGACACCTTGTGTTTATGCAACCCAAATTTGATTCGGGAAACAAAAATGTTACATTATCAGTCGGTAAACTTTGTAGCAGTCACATTCGCAGTTATTCATCTAAGAAAAAAACACGACTTCCGGGTGTTACGAAGTTGAAAAAAAATCATATTTCGTTTGATATTCACGCATATTTTCAAATTGTTATGACGTCATCATTACGCGTGTACTATTCCTGTAAGTGACCGACCTTCCTGAACCCGACTGGGATCTTGTCTAATGGTTATTATGCGTTCTAGTTGCGCTTACTAAAGATGGAACCGGTTATTAGTTTTAAGCACGCAAAATACATGATACAGAACATATTCAAATATACCCCCCTCCTAAAACGATAGTTATTTTTTATGTACCTTGAAAAATAGTCCGAAACATTATAAATTTGGTTGAAACTCAACACCAGCGCTTTTAGTGTAAAGGACCAGCAAGAGCCGGTTTCCTTTGCGCTGTACTGAGCTCATAGCTGTGACGCGCCAAATTTGTTTAGCTTCCGGTGTCTGGTCCATGCTGAATATTGTCAACAAACTGCTGATGGAAATGAGCATATTTACTTGATCTTCAGGTCGTATGTTAAGCGGGTTTCTGTGAAGGTATACTTTAACAATGCCAGTTTATTAATCTCATTCTTACCCGATACACAAATAACGTCACGGCAGATGCGATTGTGCACAATCCGACTCCTGAACATCTTCAAAACCAGCAATAACCAGATGTTAATTGATGATTAACTGACAAGACTGCAGTTTGCTGGGCGCAGTTATAATATGGCCCGTATTCAGGCCTACTAACGAAACCTGACAGAGAGCTACCAAGCTTCCTAAGTACTCAAATTAAAGAGAAATAGCAACACAAATTACATCTGCATGATTTACTATGTTTGGTTTCTTTATACTGGGTTCTGAGTACGATAAAACTTCATGGTCATGTATGTTTGTTTGTAATTCGTGTGGCTATTTCTGTTTAAAGTGTGATAGTTTTCCATATTTTGGTGCCTCACTGCAGGTTTTGTTCAGTTGGCCTGCTAGGCAGAGGCAAATTCTCTATCACATGCTTCTTTGATCATTTAGAGGGTTAATGGGTAAGTCATTCCTTACTATATCATTGTCCTGTTGGTCCCCTTTCCGGTGTAGTAAATCAAACACCATTCTTTGAGCAATTGTTAGTGTTAGTCCCCCCCTTGCCAATCAGACATGCCCCAATTATGTTTATGACATGAAAGCTTATAGGTGAGTAGGTGTGGGTGTTATGGTTAGCTAGATTCTCCTTTAATTCTGTTTAAGATGCATAATCTGAGGTGAATCTGTAAAATAATGGCTACTATGCATGTGGACAAAAGTAAACAGATAGTTAATGACTAATCACAACTTTAATAAAATAAGTAGTGATAGAACAAAGAGTTCCCGTTGTGAACAGCCTAGTTTTTGTGGTGACAACACTTGGTTGGGAATTCCAGATAAATCCCTGTGCAGATGTGGTCTAAACATGGGAAAGTTTGGTAAAGGAGCATGTTGCATTTGTCTACTAAAGGTTTTGTTCTGTATTTTGTCGTAATTCGTTACCTGTGATTTCAGTGATCAAGTACCAGGACAAAGATGGCTGAACGTCCAGAGGACCTCAACCTCCCAAATGCGGTCGTAACCAGAATCATCAAAGATGCAGTAAGTGCACAGATGGATCATTAGATTGATTAATCAATTGTTTGTATGCCAAAATTCTATTATTAATAAGTTAATTAATAAATCAGTAATGTAGCTTTAACATTAACATTCTTAAGAATTTATTTTACAATGATAAATACACATTTGTCAAGTATGTTGGCAGCTATATGTGAATGAACAGGCAAGGTACCACATTTTGTGCTGTGTGTGACTGTGAATCATGAGGTTTATACTATTTATTTGTGTTTCATCACTGTTATCAGTAGTTGTCCATGTGTCAGTGTTCAACATTGTTTAAAGAGAGAGCCCTTGGCAGGTAGATCTATGAGTCATGAGGAATTGATGAATCAGTTTATTTATCACAGTAAACTGCAGTTTTGAAACAAGGACCTAAAGAGTTTTGTTAGTGAATGCAGCTTCTTAGATATGTGGGTTCTGATGGCAATCGGGGGCGGTGGGGTAGCCTAATGGTTAAAGCGTTGGCTCGTCACGCCGAAGACCCGGGTTCGAATCCCCACATGGGTACAATGTGTGAAGCCCATTTCTGGTGTCATCTGCCGTGATGTTGCTGGAATATTGCTAAAAGAGGTGTAAAACCATCAGTCTGATGGCAATCTGCCAATTATTTATATTTCTAATGCTAGCATGTGTTCATACACATCAAGATTATTAGCCAAGTGTGTCGGTGGAAATATAAGTATCGATATAAAATGAATCTCAGATATTTGCTTGTGTACAAGGAGCTAAAATAGATACCCTATCAGCATGATTGAATTAAGCTGGGTGGGGTAGCCTAATAGTTAAGCCTTTGCCTAAGACCCCAGTTTGATTCCCGACATGGGTACAATGTGTGATGCCCATTTCAGGTGTCCCCTGCTGTGATATTGCTGGAATATTGCTAAAAGTGGCATAAAACTAAACTCACTGACTCACTGATTACACCAAAGTACTCATACAAAATACAACTAGTGTCATGTTAAATGGCACTAAATAGTGAATCAGTCCGAACCCAATAAACAAAATGTGTGTTTGCTTAGTTTTTTTGCAATGTGCAATGAAAATGTACATGGTTTTAGTCCTTATCATGCAAACGCAGGGCTCGATTTAGTGCTTTGTTACTAACACTGGTGCAACCGAAAATTACAAAGTCTAATCTAGTTATTAGTCTGACTTGCACCAGGTGTAAATCATTTTTTTAGAAATAAATCAACAATAAATCTAACATAAGCATAATTAAGTCAGCACATTTTATTTTTAAAATTTGAATAATTCAATAGCATATTTCTTTCATTGCATATTGCAATAAAAGCAGTGCAGCTGGAATTTGGCTTGTTCAACTAGGGGGCGGTGGGGTAGCCTAGTGGTTAAAGCGTTTACTTGTCACGCCGAAGACCCGGGTTCGATTCCCCACATGGGTACAATGTGTGCAGCCCATTTCTGGTGTCCCCTGCCGTGATATTGCTGGAATATTGCTAAAAGCGGCGTAAAACCATACTCACTCACTCACTGGTTCAACTAGGTTTGGTTATTGTAGGTTGCACCTGGTGGAAGTAGGTTAACATCTTTTAAATCGAGCCCTGAAACATTATGGAACTTGTCTAGTTCCTCTTTTGTGTGATTGTTTCTGTTAAGTGCACCTAGCCCGTACTTGCTTTCCTTAGTTGCTTTCGTAGCCTGCCTCATCTGTGGTTTGTTTTCCAGATCCCTGATGGTGTGAATGTTGGCAAGGAGGCGAGGCTTGCCATCTCCAAGGCTGCTAGTGTGTTTGTGCTCTACGCCACGTCATGGTAAGTACAGCAGGAAACATTGGCATGGTTTTACATTGACTTACAAGGCCAGAGGCCCAGATAAGCTGCGTATCCGGGTAAAAACGCATAGAAACTTTCCAACTACGCATTGAAAAATAATTGTTGCTTACCAATTACGCATTTAAACTGTTAGATACGCAAAGAGTTTAAAACAAACGCGTATGGAATATACTTATAAAAATCGCTTGTGTAACGAAAAAGACATCGATTGCTATCAAGTTGTACTGTGAGTATAGGACAAGTGTTATGCTGTCAGTATAGGATGACTGTATTTTTATAAAATCATTTCCCTTATATTTAAGTTGGTTTTGATTAGGTATGACATAAGGTAGAACATACCTGCTTAGTAAACTTACTCAATGACACAATACTTAGGTGTGTAAAATGACTGAAATACGTACATATTTGAAAGCAGTGGGTAACGGTAAATGAAATACCCATTCAACATTCATAATACCCACCCCACAAAAATACAGTGGGTACAGTACCCACATTAGCTAAATCTTATCTGGAGCTCTTCAAAGCTACTCACCAACTTCTACAATGTTGATCAGGACGGTGGGGAAGCCTAGTGGTTACAGTGTTCGCTCCTCACGCCAAAGACACGGAATGGGTACAATGTGTGAAGCCCATTTCTGGTGTTCCCCACCATGATATTGCTGGAATATTGTTAAAAGCAGCATAAAATCCAACTCACTACAATGTTGATAAAACAATTAGAGATAAATGTCCTCTTATCCTTTCAACAGCTCCAATAACTTCTCAATGAAGGCGAAGAGGAAGACGATCTCGGCGCAGGACGTGGTCGACGCCATGGAGGAGATGGAGTTTGAGCAGTTTGTCAACCCCCTACAGCAGTGTCTTGATGGTCTGTCTCCTAGTGGCGCCATTTTGTAGAACAATTCGGCACCGGAACCTGTCCATCCTTACCCAGTCTCATAAAGTGATCAGATCTCCAACTCAGAAAATATACCTTTTCTTGAGCATTTAACGACAGGCTGATAGGCACGTTAGGTGAACTTTCTAATCAGTCAATCAGTGTGAAAAATCTTGAAACTAATGATAAAAGTATTTAGACCAGTATCTCCATCCCCCTGATTTTTGGTTAAAATGTGAGAGAGCACTTCAGTGAATGAGTCAGGTGTTACAATATCAAACACCTTTTGTTCTTGGAAAAACATTTTTATCAGATTATATAGACAGATTCTGGAGAAAGATATTCTCACCTTTATTTACCACTGTTGGATGTGAAATACACATTGGTCTCTTCAATGAAGATTTTCATCCTTCTTCAGCATTCCGGAATGAACAGAAAGGAAAGAAAGAAGCTTCAGAAAGAAGGAAGAAGGAGCGAGAACAGAATGCATCCTTGGAGGAAGACAAGAATGGAGACACTACTATGGAGGAAGATGGTGCCGAGGTCATCACCATCAACGGCGATGAGGAAGAGGAAGAGGAGGAGGGAGAGGAAGGGGGAGAAGAGGAGGAGGAACCAGAGGAAGGGGACGATGATGATGTGCAGGAAATAGTTGATGATGCATGAAAGTAGGTCAAGGCTAGGTCATCTCATCAACAAGGTCAAGGCTATGTCACCTGAAATTTTGCTGTATGTAATAAAACAAGTGTTTTGTGACTGATAATATGAAAAGATATTTCGAAGGTATTATATTAAATTATAATGTTGCAGTAAATAGCAGAAATAGATTACACTTACATTCAAACATCTTGTGTTGAACTTTTTGTCCAACTTAACATTGTCTCTAAGTTGTGGTCTCAAAGTTGAAGTATGTACGTAAGTACCTTCACCTGCGACACAATAGTGTTTGATTATTTTGGTAAATGGACGTTACCCTGGGATGAGGTGATGAAGCAGATGTCTGGACATTGCTTTGACTGACAATTTGTATATATTCATCTGTAAATAAACATAATAGTCTTGTCACAAGCACTGTGTTTTGTTATTGAAGAATGATACCTAGACCAGAAGCAGCTATTCCTCAGCAGAGATCACCCGCCAACTACACCCAGTCGTAACCAGTGTGACATCAGTGTGACATCAGTGTGACAATGTTTCTTGCAAAATTCAAATGATTAACTCAATACATTTTTTTGCAAGACAAGACCCCTCTCTGGAAACTTTATTTCTTGGCTTCTTTCATGATGTACCCGTGAAGATCTGGGTTAGAATTGATCTTCAGTAACCCATGGTTGTCGTAAGAGGCGATAAAGGGGATCGGGTGGTCAGGATCGCTGACTTGGTTGACCAATTGTGATGCTCATGCTGTTGGTCACTGGATTGTCTGGTCCAGACTATTATTTACAGACCGCTGCCATATAGCTGGAATATTGCTGAGTGCGGGGTAAAACCACAGGCCCTCGTGTCTTTGGGAGGATTATAGATTTTTAACAAATATATAAAAAATTGAGATTACCCCCCACTCGAAATGCTTTACAGTACAATGCATCGTGACATGGCCGGACACTTCGGTGCACCCCACCCGACGGCTGTGCCGATCGCTACGCTACCATCGCATACAATCGATAAAACTTAATGTAAACATAATCATGGATGATTGGCCTATCGGTCACCACTCATGACACCTACCAATTCTTTATTGCTATTTCTGCAAGTCGATTGAAACCCGAGTTTAACTCTCAACTAAACGATCTTGACACATCACGCTGAAGACCAGGGTTCGAATCCCCACATGGGTACAATGTGTGAAGCCCATTTCTGGTGTCCCCGCCGTGATATTGCTGGAATATTGCTAAAAGCGGCGTAAAATTAAACTCACTCACTCTGGTTGGACACCTGTAACCTCGAGTTGGCCACATAGGTACATCGTCAGAAGCCTATTCTTGGTATCCCCGTTTGTATTATGGCTGGAATATTGCCCAAACCCAGCTGACTTACATCCTCCGTAAATTCAGCCAGGAATGGACTGTGTCCACGAACGGCATTTCCATTATCCAAGGTAACGGTATATGAAAATTCCGGTTACACTGTTGGTAATTGAAGTTGGTTGTTCGGATCCGGAAACCGGATTTCCGGACAATTGAAGCATTTTGTAAATATTTCGTTTCACGTAAATATCTTCCGGTAATCGAGGTTTCCGGATATCTCGGGTCCAGATAAGCGTTGTCCCACTGTATAGAGTGCCTAAAATACATCGGAAGTACGTGCAGAACGCATAGATGTTCCACAGACAGTTTAAATCGCTCGTACACCTGCTGAAACTGGTCGATATTCGAAAGTGCCTCTTAATGATGAAATTAAATTTTATTTTAAGAAAGTGAATGTCATGTATTCTACACAACCCCTTATACGAAGAAATAAAGAAAAGTTTGAACTGACTCAAGAAGAAATTTGGAATTTGTACTTCAATGGATAAGCAGAATTTGTACATTTTATCCAGGCCTGAAGTATATGCAATAACTGTCAAAATCTGCAAATCATAGTATTGGAAAAAGGAGAAAATAGATCTTATATAAAAGAGTTTTGCATGTAATAAGCATATACTTTTGAGAGATGTATGTCGAACTGCTTCTTACCCTGAGACTATATATACTACTCAACAGACGTTAAGGAAAAACCGACTGAGTAATGTCTCTATATCTAACGTTAATCGGTAATGGGTTATGGAGGAAGCGGATTGTCCTTAACTTCCATTGAGTGGTACATGTGTATTTTTCTGTAAGTCTATTATAAACCACACCGGGTCACTTGTTTATGTTATTTTGTAATGCGATGAGTTTAGTCTTGTTTTGTTCATAATGGAGATATATACCCAATGAGGCGAGGCTATAACATACTGCCTGTCTGGCAGTCTTACGGGGGCCGCGGGGTAGCCCAGTGGTTAGAGCGTTCGCTCGTCACGCCGAAGACCCCGGTTCGATTCCTCACGTGGGCACAACGTGTGTGAAGCTCACTTCTGGTGTCCCCTGCCGTGATATTTCTGGAATATTGCTAATAGCAGTGTAAAACTAAACTCACTCACTCACTCACTGGCAGTCTTTCAAATGATAGATTATATTTAGTGAAAGAGATACAAATTGGACGAAATATAAAACCCCCGCCATGGTTATGTTCCATCAGATTAGAACATACTAAATTATAAATGACAAATGCGCTTTGTGTACCATTGTTTTTATATTTCGTTTTGATTTTTTCGCATGAAAATGTATTCTTAAACCCAAGCCGTCTATATTTCACAGCCTATGTGTTTAAACGTTTTAGTAAAGATTCGGTCAACATCATCACACTGTTGTTTCGTGTCATTGAGTCGACAGAACTAAATGAATATCTCTTACCCCTCTTTTGATTTTCGTGTCAGATTTTGTCACGGCAATAAAATGTTTTTATTAAACGAAGTTCCTGTAAAATCCTGTCTAAAGTAAGTTTTCACCCAATCAGTACTGATGGCTTGCCATCCAGAGTTGACTCCCTTAGCGATTTCGTTTTGAAATTCAAATGTGTGTTTTGTAATCATTTATATATTCCGTGTTTTATTATTGAAGTGAATGATATAATGATTCATGAGATCGTAAACATTCTCTTCACCTGGATGATAATAATTTCAGTTATTATTCAAACAATTCTGAGCAGAGAGGAACTGTTTCTCTCTTTGACATTTTGACACAAACACGTTCATCGCAAGGTAATCATTGCCGCTTTGTTGTGACTTAAAGCGTTATATTTTTTTACATAAATTGTTTGTCTGGATATACAATGCAAGTGGTCGAGAAAACCGTAGCAGGGGAATTTAAAGGGGCACTGATCCAGAGCAATTTCCGTGGACCGGTTGTTGCTTTTGTTATTGTTTTTCTCCCGTGAATCCCAGAATTCTTGACTGGTTCGTGATCTCTGCTACGCCACCCGCAAGCGCAACAGATAGTACGAGTGTAGATTAATCAACAAAGATGAAATTATTTTTACTCGATAATATTTCCATCAGATGCTTGATGAGCTTTTAGAAGTTGGGAGGGGACATAACAACATATGGTGTGGATTTACAACTTCTTCGTGTTATGCATAATATTCGAGACACCGGCATTCGACTCATCGGAATTTGACTGTATTTACAATACAACGTTTCTGGGCTACTTCTTGCCCCTTCATCAATGATGATTGTGAATGTGATTACGAGCAAAATATATAGTATGTACAGGAAGCCAGTGAGAGAGTGTTACAGGTCGATGTACATCAGATTTTTCTAGCAATGGCAAAGTGGGGTTGTAAATTAGTTTATGGATTCAAAGAAATCAAATGTGTGTTTTAATATCATAGGTAATAGACATCATATTTTTACATGACATGATTAAATATTGAGGTAAAAAACACATAAATAGGATCAAATTGGATCAGTCACTATACCATCCAAGCATTAGAAAATGCCCAGCCCAGTCCCCGTGTCCGTCACGGTCGAGGCAGCAGATACTGGCCAGCTTGCAGCTAGGTTTTGTAATTAGACTGTTGGTGAGAAGCATTAATCGCTCTGGATCAGTGCCCCTTTAAAGGGGGGTAAACAAAAGGTGCTGTTAACTTAGGGGTTTCGACTGCGGGTTCAACTTAGTTTAGGGGCCACTAGAGGTTTCTGAACATCAATGAGTGATATTGATATCAGGTTCCTGGGCCGATACCCGATTGTGAAGAAAGTCTTTTCTCCCAAATCTCACAAGTAAGATATCGTTCCAGGCTTCCACAACGCTCGCTTCGCACTCACAAACATAACCCATTTAGCACGAACTACGGGGTCTGGTGGAAATCAGTGCATGGTGACACCATCACCCGACCCCTAGGAACGCAACGATTCGGCATGTCCTCGTTGACGTCAAGAAATCAGCAAAATGACGAGCTTGTTACACACTTTATAACTGAAAACCCTTCCTCCTATGACGTCACTGCAGTGCTCTGGCGACAGAGTTACGTAACCTCTCTGTGGTTTCGTTGGCGGGCGAGAGTGAAGCAGGCGACTTTTTGGCAACTTTTAATCTCTCGGTATTAATTAACCACAAGGTTTTTAAGAACGAATTTGGTGTTCCGCTTAAGACTAACCACACGTCTTTCATATGTAATGGTTAAAGAGTACAAAAAAACAAAAGTATATTTGTTCTTTAAAATCCATTTTCAAGTTATTTGCTTCTTTGTCGGTCGGTTTTGTGTACAAACTCGTAAATGTAAAGGGCTTGAAGATAAATGATGTAGAATCTTCAGATAACCGACGACCCTGTCACACACAGACTTGGTTCCTTCTTCGGGAGGTAGCATTATGCGCATTTGCAATTGTTGTGACTGAGTTCGTGTCATCAATATTTATTACAGATTACGCTTTGCTAGCATTTTAAAAATACGGTTTGAAATATTCATGCGACATTTCCTTTCAACAACTATTGGAAACATTGAGCAATGAGAAAATGCGCGACAGCGAGACATTTTGATGAAGTTATGCCCTGTGGCGCTTTTTTGAAACATAAAAACATACAATAATGGATATAAGCCCGACAGTGCGACTACGCTACATTTTGATGAAATGTCCTTGTCGTGTTAGTTAGGAAATACACAGTCGTGGTTTTGGTTCTCAATATGAAGCATGTTTATACACGTTCTTTTTACTTCTGAAATAATGCTGATGCGAGCCACTTGAACGTCTGAATTTTGAATCATGGAATGGACTGAATAAACCTTTTTTGTGGTTGTATTTTGAGAGATGATTTAAATGCTCTTGTGTATGTTCAATTTATGTGTTCTCGCTTGTTTGAACGTTGTCTGTTAGCAACTGTTATTCTTCGAAACACCGGACACTGGAGTCGATTGTAGCCAGAGCATGTCACGTGTCACACAGCACAATCAACGTCACGTGACCTACATCGTGTGGCTATAAGCGGATTAGGATTACCAGCCCAGTGCTTGCACAAATATAGTCAGTTTGAGTAAGTGGAGTTCAC